GTGCGGCAGTGGCAGCGGCGCACGGGTGGCTGTGGGCAGCGGGGCGTGCGCGAGCAGGCGACGGGCGGCTGCGGGGCGTGCGCGAGCAGGCGACGGGCGGCTGCGGGGCGTGCGCGAGCAGGCGACGGGCGGCTGCGGACGGGCGGCCTCTGCGACGGCGGGCTGCGGGCAGCGGGGCGTGCGCGAGCAGGCGACGGGCGGCTGCGGGGCGTGCGCGAGCAGGCGACGGGCGGCTGCGGACGGGCGGCCTCTGCGACGGCGGGCTGCGGGCAGCGGGGCGTGCGCGAGCAGGCGACGGGCGGCTGCGGGGCGTGCGCGAGCAGGCGACGGGCGGCTGCGGGGCGTGCGCGAGCAGGCGACGGGCGGCTGCGGGGCGTGCGCGAGCAGGCGACGGGCGGCTGCGGACGGGCGGCCTCTGCGACGGCGGGCTGCGGGCCTGCGGGGCGTGCGCGAGCAGGCGACGGGCGGCTGCAGCAGCGGGTGCGTCAGCGTGGCGCACAGGGCAGCGGCGGGCAGTGCGCGAGGCTACGAGGCGCACGGGCAGCAGCGCAAAGGCGCACGGGCAGCGGGGAGGCAGCGTGAAAACGGCCGCGCGCGAGCGGCTAGTACGGCGCGCGCGGTAAAAAAAAGGAAAGCCACGCGCGGGCGGCTAGCGAGCTGCGTGCGCGTGGTAGGTAGGTAAGGAGCGCTCTAGGACGCGCAGGCGCACGAGGCGCACAGTAGGTAGGTAGGTAGGTAGGTGGGCCCTAAGAACAGTCCTAGCGACGGACCTGCTCTGAAACCATGTCAGTAATAACGGACTGGAATGGTGAACTAGAAAGGATTGTGAGTACAAATGTGAAACCCTAATGTTGTGACCCCCCTATAGGCTAACCCACTACAGCCTACACAAACACAACACATATAATGTTTGACAGGTGGTACGCTGAAGACATCGCAAGCTTTGTCCCCAACAATCCCATGAGTTCCCTCCAGAACTTACTAGTGAACTTAGGGTCTCTGTCCGAGATAAGTGTAGCGGGGATGCCGTGGATGGTGATGATGCGGTCGAAGAAGAGGCGAGCAGTTGCTTCAGCAGTAGCCGTGGCGTTGGTCGGGATGAAGTGTCCCATTTTAGAGAACTTATCGATCACCACGAGTATAGCGTCATGCCCTCGTGAGGTCGAAGAAAGCCCAGTAATGAAGGCGAGGCTGACAACTTGCCATGGCTGCTCCGGTACGGGTAAAGGCTGAAGTAACCCTACTTTTTTCTGCTTGCTATTCTTCATCCGCTGGCACGTGTCGCATGAAGTGACGAACTGCTGCACGTCTGTTGCCATCCGGGGCCAGTAATAATACTTTGCTATTCCCGCTAACGTCTTGTTGCGCTCGAAATGTCCCGCGTATGCCACATTGTGAAATTCCTCCAGTATGTTCTGTCGGAGCGGGGCATAGTTCGGTACCCAAATCTTTCCTGATCCCTTTCTTACAGCTAGGTCCTTCTCCCACTGTAACAGCTTCTGTTTCTCTGCTGTAGCGATCTCTGCGTCCACGGAGTATCCATGCTGGAATAGACCCTTGAGCAGAGGGTTCATCCCGTCGAGTTGGATGCCTGCTACATGACCGGGGCGGCTCAACACGTCAGCTTTGTTGTGTAGCCCGGGCTTGTAGACGATGTCGTAGTGGAAGTGGGTCTCCAAGAAGTCTACCCACCGCACCTGTCGTCGTGAGAGCGTCGGCTGCGACTTCAGGTATTTGAGGCTGCAGTGGTCAGTGTAAACTGTAGTCTTGGCTCCCTCTAGGTAACACCTCCACGCCTTGAAGGCTGTGACTATCGCTAAGGCTTCCTTGTTATGGATAGGGTAGTTCAGTTCTGCTCCGTGTAGCTTCTTACTCAGATAGGCGATGGGCTGCAAACCGCGTCCGTGATTCTGCATCAGTACTGCTCCGACTGCTTGGTCACTAGCGTCTGCTTCCACCACGTAGTCTCTGTCTTGGTTCGGTAGGATGAGTACTGGTGCTGTAGTCAGTGCTGTCTGTAGCTGCTCCATGGCTTGCTGATGAGGAGTATCCCCTGTATCCGTCCACCTTCGCAGCTTCACATGTTTCCCGTTGTTGTAAATAGACGCCTTCCGGTTGACCCAGTCGATCTCGGGGTTGAACCGCTTCAGAAAATCACGCCCCAAGATGAAATCTAATCCCTTGATGTTCGTGATCGGCAACGTCGGCTTCCACCTTAACGCTCCTATCTGTAGCTGCAGTGTTGACTCGCCGTGGATGGGAAGCTTCGTACCGTCCACCATTGTTGCTGTAAACTGGGTCTCTTCTGAGGATTCTTCAATTTTCTCCAACGTCCCGCGGTCGTACACCGAGTGGGACGCACCACTGTCCACCAGTGTCTGGAGGCGTCGCCCGTTGCAGATCACCTCGAGTACTAGTGGCTGTTGCTGCTCCGAGTAGCCGTAGATGGTATCGCTTATAGGATCGTAGGGTACGTCGAATATGTCATCCCTAGGTCCTGCGCTCGAAGATGCAGCTTCAATATCAGGTATCACCTGAGTAGGGTTAGAAGGATTTATCCGAGGCTGGTACAGCTTCTCTTGAGCCTGGAACCTTCCCCTAGGCCTTTGCAGCTGTGTAGGCTTCATCTGTGGGGAACAGGGAGCCTTTAAACAGAGCTGCTGGGAGAGAATATTAACTCCTCGGAACGCTCGACCCTTGTTAGCGCTCCGGAGTAGGGTCCCCATATTACCCGGTACCGGTTTAATTTCTGACTCTCCCTTAATAAAGGCTTGAAACCCACGAGAAGTAATATTCTTACTTGTCGGGGTGTACGGCTGGAGTTTCCCAGTCGGTGCAGGGTCTTGTTTCGCGGAGTCTCCATTTGTCTCGGCGATTTCCCCTGGTGCCGGCTGGTCGTGACGTTTTAAACTCGCGCCATCATATTCTCCTTTTTTCGCCCTCTCCGAAGTTGCCACGTTGTCCGTTTTCTGCTTCGGGGGTGCCGCACTGTTCTTGTATCTCAGCTCCGCACGCCTTCCCTTCATTTCCCAACACGCCAAGATACGATGTCCTGTAGCGCCGCAAAATTTGTACGTCTCAGTTTTTGCTAGCCGCTGCTCCACATCGCCCTCGTCGTTCTCCATCGGTTCAGCAGTCGTGGGTGGTGCCAATCGCCCCATGCCACTAGTTGGCTTGTTGCGTCGTGTTCCGTAGTAGCTACTGTTCAACGTGTCGAACTGTTCGATCAGTGCTGCCCGAAACTGCGCCCACGTCCCTTCGCCTTGGACTATTCTGTTGTTGATCCACTCTAGAGCTGGGCCTTGTAACAGTGTTGCTGCGAGCCGTATGCGCATTGCGTCTTCTGTCGGGGTCGTGCACCCAACGGCTTCGAAGTAAATTTCGAGTTCAACTACAAATCGACGAACGTCGTTCCCTTTAACTACAGGATCGAATGTCTCCGGTAGCCTCAGCTTCACTGCTTCGAGGTTAACTGTAGCTGCTGCCGTTGTCGCAGGTAGAATTGTCGGTGTCGTCGCCGCTGCTGCTGCTGCTGCTGCTGCTGCTGCTGCTGCTGCTGCTGCTGCTGCTGCTGCTGCTGCTGCTGCTGCTGCTGCTGTCGCTGCTGCATTCGCTGCTGCTGTGGCGGTTGCCGACTGGTTCGCAAGGAGTTTCTCGAGTCGTGGGAGCGCCGCACGTATCTGCTTATGCTCGGCACGTAACTCCGCGATTTTCTGTACTGAAATATATCTTTTTCACTCTATTTGGCGATTTACAGAAAGAAGCGCGACGAAAATAATTGATTTATGGGTGCTGGTCGACTTACTGCGAGTAAAATCGACTGTAAAATCGACGAGCGCGAATTCTGTACGTCGCGTAAATCTCTCTTGATTGAAATTCGCGTTCGATCTCGGCCGTTGAGAAGAAACTCGATCCGACGCTCCAAATTCCAACTTTTTGGGGCGAAATTCTCTGGGCCGTTGAGATGAAACTCGATCGAACGGTCGAAACTCCAAACTTTCCACCAGTAAATCTGAGAAATGTTCGAAAACCGAATCGAGAGGGACTTCGGAAAATTGCGCGGAACTGGTTTTACATACCCGTATCGGCGCCTTCGTCGTCGCCCCCGCGGTTTTTAAAGGCCGGAACTACGCGGTTGAAGACCTCGCGTGTAAACCCGCTCTGATTACCAAGTGTGAGGATCTGGTTCAGGAAAGATGATTTATTGAATGATTCACCTGGGGAAAGGCGAGGCTATATATAGGCTCGACACAAAGGCAGTAACCCGGGTGTTACTAGAAGGTTCCGCGGGTCGCGAAGCGTCCCGAATGGGTCCTTCCCGAATTTGGTAGAAGGCAATTCGTGCTGATACAACCAAAGGATCAATGGATAGGATAGAAAGTGTTAAGCCTCAGGGGAGACAGTGAAGTCTCTGTAGTGACCTTGTTTCGTAATAGTTGAAAGAGAACAAGATGATCAAGGAGTGGGAGTACAAGCAATTAAATAGCAAACTATCTAGTCATGTACTCTGAGGGGTACATTCCCTTATTAAATGTATTACATGGCTACAGTAACTACGACTATTGCTATTCTCGACAGTTACCGTGTTGCAGTCTGTTAACCGTTGCGTGGTTACTGGATCGTCAAGGGTCACGACCGTTGACTATCTTGGACGGTTGACCTTCGGGTGTCCCTCGAGATTCCGCGTGCTCTATATGAGCTAATGCGGTACTAGTACAGTGGAGCAGCTTCGGGAATGCCTTTATAACCTTTCGGTTATTCCAACACTCCCCTTCATTCCAGAAGGTGGGCCACGTGGGATTTCTTGGTGATCCCACAGAGGTTGGCGCAGTGCTGGTACTGCTGACGTGGCAGTTTCTTCGTCAGGAAGTCGGCTGCCATGTCACCGGTCGGGCAGTAAGTCAGCTTGACTCTCCCCTTGTCGATTTCGTCCTTCACGAAGAAGTAGCGAAGGCCGATGTGCTTGGTGCGGTTGACGAAGCCGGGCTTGTTCGCGATCTTTATCGCGCTCTGATTGTCGCAGAGTAACGTGAAATGCCCGTTCATCGTCACTTTCGCTTCTTGCAGGAGCTCCATCAGGTACAGACCTTCGCGAACAGCTGCGCTAGCTGCGATGAATTCTGCTTCAGCTGACGAAAGGGCGATGAGTTCCTGCTTCTGGGAGTTCCAAGAGATGAGTCCGGCCGGTTGGAGTTGGAAAATGAATCCTGTACGGGAGCGTCTGTTGTCAACATCTCCAGCATGATCGGCGTCCACGTAGCCATGAAGTTGCAGAGTAGCGGTGAGGTTGGCTTCGTAGGTGAGGCCGACGTCGGGAGTGGAGATGAAGTATTGCAGTGCTCGGCGTAGATCCAGTAGATTCTCCCCTTCAGGTCGCTTCAGATACTGTGCGAGCTGGCTAGCGACGTAGGAGAGATCGGGCCGGCACGTGACGGCGGCGAACAGGAGGCAGCCGAGCTGCTGCTGATAGAGACGATGGTCGTTAGGAGAGAGTGGCGTGGTGTTGGGCTCATGGTTAGGAGGAGGAGTGCGGTAGGGGGTAGTGAGGTTGATGGGAGCGATGGCGAACCGCTTCGCGAGTGTTTCGGCGTATTTGGCGGCGGAGAGGTGAATGGAGGAGGCGGACTGGGTTACGTTGAGGCCGAGGAATTGGGTGACGTTGTGATTGACGGTGACTTCAAGTTTCGTTTTGATGTCGGCCTCGAATTGGTCGAGTAGCTCCGCGTCGTCCCCGGTGTAGAGGAGATCGTCGACGTAGGCGACGAGGAGGATGAACTTTCCCAGTGACTCCCGCCTGTACATTCCGAGATCGTGCGGCAGTTGAGTGAAGCCGAGCTCAAGGAGGACGGAATGCAGGTACTGCTGCCACAGACGAGGAGCTTGCTTGATTCCGTAGAGAGACTTTTGGAGGAGGCACACGGCGCCGTCGCTTTCTTCGAATGCGTGGGGTTGTTCGACGAAGATGATGGCATCAACGGGAGCGTACAGGAAGGCGCTTCCGACGTCGATTTGCCGGAGCGGTCGCTGTTTGACGGCGGCGATGCAGATGAGGATGCGCACCGAAGTGTGACGGCCGACTGGAGCGTAGGTGAGGGTGAAGTCCACCAGGTGAGTTTGCTCGAATCCCCGCACCACCCAGCGCGCCTTGTACTTGTCGATCGAGCCATCGGCGAGAGTTTTGATGCGAAAAACCCATTTGCCGCTGAGAATTTTCCTCCCCTTTGCCGATGACCGTGGAACCAGCTTCCAGGTGCCGCGCTTCTTCAGCGACGCGATTTCGGCGGCCATGGCTGCTCTCCATTTGTCGCTGTCGGGGCCAGACAGGGCTTGGCGGACGGTGGTGGGTTCCTTGGGCGAGGTGTGGCGAACTGCAACGGCGAGGCCGAGAACCCGAAGACCGGTTTCGTTGGTCTTTTCGTAGAGAAGACGGTCGTAGTCGTGGGAGCTGGTAACTTCGACCACGTCGTCATCACTGTCGTTGCCGAGGCGGAGGGTGTCTTGCGACAGGTTGGGTTGTGGTAACTCGGCATCGGGTGATCGGCGCGTTGCGCTGTTGTAGTTGTGAGCTTCGCGTGTTATATCATCCGGATCGGGTTGGTGTACGGGCACGAATGTCGGAGTTCCGAGTTGGCTCGTAAGGGGGATGTTTGGAGCAGAGTCCATCTGGGTGACATCAGGTGCGTCTGCATCCTCGGCCAGGTCAGCTTCGTCGTGTGACGTGGCGAAGCTGCGGTGGCCCTCGAAGAGCCTCTCGAGCAGTTTGTCAGCTTCCTGGTGCTCCTTAAAAAGGGGCAGAGTCAGCTTCTCGTAGAAGATGCAGTCACGTGATTTTGTCACCTCGTGTGTCGCGTAGTCCAGCACGATCCACGCCTTGAATTCTTTTTCGATTCCGAGATGGATGCCCCATCGTGCCCGGTCTGCAAATTTTCCCGTCCGCGCAGTGTGGGGTCTGTACTGTACCATGCACCCGAACACCCGAAGTAGGCGTGTATCTGCTTTTCTGCCCGTCCAAGCCCGGTAGGGAGAGTTGTTGTCCTTGAGGCTTCGCGAAGACAGCAAGTTGTGCAGCCGAACAGCGTGATTCATCGCAAATGGCCAATATCTGGTTGGGATGGCCGACTGCTTCATCAGAGCCCTCATCCGCGTGGCGAGGCTCCTGTTTGTCCGTTCTGCTACACCTTGCTGCTGGTGGGCGTAGGGCAGAGACACCAGGTGCTCGATCCCCTTCTGCTTGAAGAGCTCTTTGAACTCGTCCGAGAAGAACTCCAGGGCTCCGTCTGTCTGCCAGGCCTTTAGCTTTAGCCCAGACTGTCGCTCAGCCCGCTTCATCCACGCAATGAAGCACTCGAAGGCCAGTGACCTAGAGTCGGTGTTGATGGCCCAGACGTAACGCGTAGAGGCGTCAATGAAGGTTAGCGTGTACTGCTCCCCTTCGAGCCCTTCTTGGCTGAGTACCATGAAGTCGCTGTAGACCTTATCCAGCGGTTTGTAGCGCTCGTACCCTGGTGGTAAGTCTGGGAATGGTTGGTGGTTGAGGGATGCAGTCGGGCAGATGGTGCACGGCGGATTGGGAGAGTCCGCGGTGAGGGAACCGTCTCGGGGGAGGAGAAGTGCTTCGTCATCGAAGACTCCAGCCTTGAGCGAGTTTTTGAGCGTGGCGTGAGAGGGATGTCCAAGCCGTTGGTGCCATGTTGCTGGGTCCGCACGGTAGCCGACTGTTTTCTGATAATATTTTTGCCGTGCTGCCTCGTCGTTTGCCTCCCCTTCAGGTCCTGTGTCAGCGGCGTTGTCCGTTTCGGCGGCGAGTGCGCGAATTGCTTTTCTCTCCAGAAGCGCGCGGGGAATACCGATGATGTCGTCGGTATCGCCAGCTTCGGCTTGGTCTCCGGTGACAAGTAGGCATCGATCGGGCCAGTCCCGAGCGGGGAGTCCCGACATGGGGATCCTGTAGTAACTGTACTCAGCGCCAATGACTTCAATTTCTTGGGGTCCTTGTACCGGCGGCTCTGGCTCCTCGGTAGGTTCAGGTAATTCCGCTGGTCCCCCCATGAATTCGTAGGTCTCTTCTTCCTCTGACTCTTCTGGCATTGGTTCGGGTGTGTCAGGGGCGTACTGATCCGGAAGGGGAGGACCTCCCCAGCAGGTGCCGCGAGTTGCCCAGTACGGGTCGACGATGGCGACTTCCGCGGGAGGAAGGCCGGCTGCTACGGTGTGCCTTTGTTCCGCTTCGCCCGAAGTGCCCCAGCCTCCCCCGGCGCCCCACGTGTCTCCGGTTGTCCTTGCTTCTCCGACTGCTGTGTCTTTGACTTCTGCGCCAACTTCCCCAGATGGGGCAGGAGGAGTCCAGCCAGTGTCACCTTCCTCGGCTGGGGTAGGAGGAGTTCCCCGGCCAGTCGCAGCAATTTCTTTCGTTGCGACGGCACCCCATCCGCTTGTGGCCGCTTCCTCTGGAGTTAGGACTTCGCCCCAAGATCCAAGTGCAGGTCCGGAAGTATCCCAGCCTGTCCAGCGCGTTTCCGCCGGCGTGTTTTCCTCGGCAGGTTGTGTTGTGGGGCCTGACGTGCCACTGTCTTCCTCCATTGTGGCAGGTCCGGTCTCAGCAGGATTCGAGGTCGAGGCGGTCGGGACAGTGCGCAAGCGCAGAAGGCCGTCAGAGGCGGGTCGCTCGAGGTCCATCTCGTCGGGATGTGACCACGTTGGCGCCTCCGTGGGAGTCGTCTTTAGGAGCAGCGTGCGGTGGGAATCGCCGGTTGTGCCCTGAGCCGAGAACTGCAGCACGAAGACTCCGTCGTCGTCGATCGCCTTTCCGATGTAAGAGTCATTATAAAAGAGCTCGAAGGTCTTTTCGTTGCGGTTGCTGCGAATGTCGATTCCGCATCGCATGAGTTGAGCTGACGAGAGAAGGTTGTATTGGAGATCTGGCGCAACGAGGACGCCTCCGATGTGAATGGTAAATTTTGTGTCATTCGCCTCGAGGTAGATCTCCCCAATCTCATGTGCCTTCATTTTTCCGTTGTTGGCCGCGGTGATTTCGCAGGGTCGTCGCATGCGCCGAGAGTTGCTGATGAACTTTGATGATCCCACCATGTGTTGCCCGCAGCAACTGTCGAGGTACCAGGTGTCCAGGTCCTCGTGGCGCTGGCGGGCAAGGTTGGCGATCTTGGGCGTAATGATGCGATCGAAGTCGCCGGTGTACGGCGAGAGAGCGAAATATCTACTTGCGGGAATGCTCGGCGGCGATTCCGGAGTAGGAGGAGGAAGCTCGAAGTCAGGAGGGATGTCAGAGGGGCGAGTCGACCAGGTAAAGACCGTTGGGTCGTTATCTGAGCTGGGCGCAACGGGGGTGGGGTTGTCGGAAGGGAATGAAATTCGATCCCGATCCCAGTAGCGGAACCCTCTGCTGCGGCGAGCCATGCAGCTTATGACCGTCCCTTTCCCTTTGTCCTTTGCCGAAATGACCGCAGGGGACTGAGAAGTACTGGCGACCGAGGGAGGCGACACAGTGGAGGTTGCTGTGGCAAGCTTGGATTGAGCTGAGGGTTGCTGGTTGGAGGCGTTGCGCCGTTCATCAGCAGCCTGACGCTTGTAGCACTGGTCGATGGAGTGGCCAGACTTCTTGCAGTATTTGCAGAAAGCTCCCTTCTTTCCGCGTTGCTCCCCTTGGGATCCTCCTGTGTAGAAGGCTAATTTTTCCCGCTTGACATTTTTCTCGTTGTACAGGTCGATCTCCTTCTGCTCTGAAAGAAGCGTGGCGCACAGAGCCGACTCCGATATGGTTGCTCGGGCGCGAAGGAGTGACTGGCACTGACGCCAGTCGGGGCCAAGGCCTGAAATGACCATTGAGATGAACATGTCGTCGGGGACAGAACCACCGCACTTCTTGACTTGATCGCGCAGATTGCGGCACCGATTAACATACGGTCCCGCTTTCTCCCCTTGCTTCATTTTAACCGAAGTTAGTTGACTGAGCAGGCGACTCATAGTGACTGGATCTGTTGCCATGTATGAGTTGCGCAGGTGTTCCCAGGATGCGTGCGCGGGAGCCCACTCCGTCTTGTACGGACGAATGCCGAGCTGCTCTTCAGGTGAGAGATTGCGAAGGAGAGCGGTGTACGCGAGAAGTGATTCGTGGTAGTACTGATGCTTCTCCTGGATGGTGCCTTCCGAGGGAAAGGGCAGACTTCCGTCGTAGTACATCCAGATCTGAGCGGTTGTCGCAAGAAGCTCGAATTCGAAACTCCACGTGTAAAAATCCTTCCCGTCGAAGGGAATTGAGGTCTTCAATTTTGAAGTCAGTACAAATTTGGTTTGCATTGAAGCGATGTCTGACTGCGACCGTTGTGGGTTGTCTTGTGCAGGAGCTGACCCTTGACGATTGTCAAAGGTGAAGGATCTCTCGGAGTTGACGCGGCGGTCTTCTCCAGGGAGAGGAAGTCCAGCAACGCCACGTGCATAGCTTGAGCCATCAATGCTCATAGCCTGATGGCTTTCAAGAGCGTTGACGCGTGCAACTAGCTGCTCAACGACAGCGGCGTTGACGGAGGTCACCGCTGATGGCGCGTTAGTCGTTGCTGGTGGTGGGCCCGGTGAGTCTGCAATAGCTTTCCCTTCAGGAGCCATAGTGTTGCAGACCTTAAAATGTGATAATTGATTTTATGAAAGGATTGTTCTAGGAAGAACGAGGGCTTGACAGATCCTATAATCCACTCTAGCTCTCATACCATGCTGATACAACCAAAGGATCAATGGATAGGATAGAAAGTGTTAAGCCTCAGGGGAGACAGTGAAGTCTCTGTAGTGACCTTGTTGAGTAACAGTTGAAAGAGAACAAGATGATCAAGGAGTGGGAGTACAAGCAATTAAATAACAAACTATCTAGTCATGTACTCTGAGGGGTACATTCCCTTATTAACTGTATTACATAGCTACAGTAACTACGACTATTGCTATTCTCGACAGTTACCGTGTTGCAGTCTGTTAACTGTCGCGTGGTTACTGGATCGTCAAGGGTCACGACCGTTGACTATCTTGGACGGTTGACCTTCGGGTGTCCCTCGAGATTCCGCGTGCTCTATATGAGCTAATGCGGTACTAGTACAGTGGAGCAGCTTCGGGAATGCCTTTATAACCTTTCGGTTATTCCAAAAGGCAATTCGGTGGCAACCGAAAAGCCTAGAATTCGGTGCACTCAACCTAGTTCGGTGCCTATAACTATAATAACTATAGTAAAGGCAACGAATCTAGGAAATCAAGCAAAAGCATGCAAGATAAAATAAAGCTAAGCTAGT